CTCTGGGATCCAGTGACAGGACATGTGGGAATGGTTCAAAGCTGTGTCCATCAGGGGAGGTTTAGACTGGACATTAGGAAGCATTTCTTTACCAAGAGGGTGGTCAAACACTGGAACAGGCTTCCTAGAGAGGTGGTCAATGCCTCAAGCCTGTCAGTGTTTAAGAGGCATTTGGACAATGCCCTTAACAACATGCTTTAACTTTTGGTCAGAAACTATAGCTTACAGCTACCTTCTTTCCCTTCTCTGTTCTCCGTGCCATCAGAACCAGGAAAAACAATTGTTATTAGTTAGGCAACTATCATCTCTACTGATCGGGTGGTAGGACCGAAACTTTTATGTATAATTTACCACTCTGTCACACCGGGCAGTGACAATGATCTACCAGGATTCTTGGAATCTTATAGCACAGGATCTTGGATGCTCAGAAGTCCCCACACCCATGCAATTCAGGTACAGCAGCTATGAAAGAACCGTGCTGTGCATCTGATGTCTCCTGAAGCATCAGTCTCCCATATCACATAATTAGCACCAGTCTATGTGTGCACAGCCAGTCACAAAATCATAGAATCATTGAGGTTGGAAAAGCCCTCTAAGATCATCGAGTCCAACCGTCGACCACAGCCAGTCCTACCAATGTTTATGGGATTGTAAATTCATTACAGAAAATACAGAGGAAAATTCACGTGCACAGAAAATGCAGGTACCAGGCTCTCCCTTTGGCCACCTAAGGTGAGCTTAAGCCCAAAAATAAGTGAAAGGTTCAGGTGCAAGTCAAACTGGACTTACTGGCTTTGGACTAAAATCAGCTGGACACACAGAATTTCATTTTAATGCTGTACTAGTGTTAAAAAAACTGGCACATGCTCTTCAGTATCTCACTATGTAAATCGAAATTTCATAGTCAAACCCTGGGCTATGTATGGATTTGTGAAACTGGTATATGAATAGAAAACTTAATTTTTAAGTGGCATAATTTAAAAATATATTGTGTTTATCTGGCATGATTATTATTAATCATTAATCCCTTACACAACTGCTCCATTCTGTGAAGAAATTGGCTTTTTCTTATTTCAACTCTGCATGTTTAAAGCAGTTTTAGTAGAATGTATTAAGTTTTCTAAACACGCTGATTAAATCATCTGTTCTTTTCAGGTATATCACCTAAAATATGTTAGGAAATAGTCTGCTTATTCACCCTTGCAGATCACAAAACTACTGTGAAGTAAAAAAGAAAATGCAAAACATTTAATATTTTCAGCAAGATTATCTACAGGTACCTTGTAGGCAGACAGAACTTGCTACAGTTTGAATGTATTGCAATTTATAGCACGTTACTTGTTGTTACTTGTTCTGTCATTTAGGTTATGATCCTGCTGACCTTTGCTTTCATGATTAGACAACTGCTTCAAAGAGTGTAGGATATTAAGGATCACTTGTGTGATTAAGAACTTTTTTTTTCGTACAGAGGAATTCAAAAGAACGCAGGCAAAATGGAGACAATGGAGTCTCAGGCCTGAGGAAGAAGGCTCTACTTTTCAGAGCTACTGGGTTTTTTTGCTGGTCAATACAGATTTACAAAACAGAGTATCTATTTCAACTTCATGCTACTTCTCTGGAACAGCTACTTTAATACATCAAGACAAATTGTTTCACTTAGCTAAGTAAACTGTGGTCTGTGATCATTTTGTCATTGTTCAGTGACTGTAGGAAAGCTTATATAAATCAATCCTATAAAGTTCAGCCCTCAAACAAATGAGTAATTGGTACTGATGGGAAAAGCTTCTGTGAGCAGGCATGACACCTTCGCAGGATTTGAAGATATGAAAAAGAGAAGTTAAAAGTTTGAGGGTTTTTGACATATTATCTGGTCCTAACAAATATACTTACATTTGTCTTGGTCAGCTTCCACTCCTTCACTTTCTGTGTCACTCGGCAATATCCAAGGTTGATGAGCAAGCTGAAGCTGTTGTAAGAATTCATCCTGCCACAAACAGATCTATTTTAGATAAAATGACAGAGAATGGTTCTATATAAATGCAGACTGTAGCAAACACTCTAGTCTCAATTAACTAGAGAGGAGAAAGCCTTTAATAAAAAAAAAAAAAAACACCATTGCTGTGAAATAAAACCAGAATGTAGAGGATATGCAGACGCCCTAGAAATTATTTTATTTAATTCTTATTTATTTATCTATTCTGGAAAAAAAAAAAAAGAAAAAAAGAGGTCTCTTTAGCTATCTATCTGCTATAGCCACAAATATATATATACTCAACTTAGAAATGCAGCAACATAGAACAAAATCTCAACACAGGTATTCCATCTGTCCCTGCAGTTTTTGGACTATGCCTAAACATGTCATGCACGATTTGCTTAAGTAAGGCTTTGATTTGTCAGAACTTTCACTGTCTCCAATCTAGTAAGAACAAGGACCTGAAACTTGATTTAGAACCTATGGTTTTATTAGAGAAGGAAAAAGCCTAGTAATGCAAAATGCTGTGGAAACTTTTGTCTCCAAGATACCATAAAACTCTAAGCATCAAAATATAAATGTTTTACACAGCTAAAAAACCATAGGCAGCTGAATATATGCTTTTTAAAATGTTTTACAATTGCCTCCTTTTTTATATAATGTATATATGTATGTATATAAAAATATTTTTCCATACACACACACGCACATGTGTATGTGAGTCCGTACACACACAGACATATAAAATACTTTGACAGGTTCCTTTGCAATATTCAAGGTGAGAGATGAGACTGGAATGCATAGTTTTATTTTCAAAAGCAGTTCAAACATGCAAGTCTAGTCTCTAAAAGAGAACTTAAACATTGGCCAGGTATAAGAAAATTACTGGCCAGATTCTTATAACTACCCTAAAAAAAGGGGGGGTAATAGCCCTGTCTTCTTTTACACCAGCTGAAAAACAGAATCTACTTATTCAAAGTTAAATTGTATTGCACAGCGCTATAGCATAATTTTTATTGTTAGGCTGTCTGGTTTAAGAACAGAAACCGGGCTTGTTTAAATCAGTTCTTGGAGACTGAAGGGTGTTCAATCAAGATGTAACTCACTGGGAGTAAATTATTAATCCTGTTAGTAATCTGTTAAAAAATCCACAAAGACTGCTGCAATGGCGCAACACTAAGCTCAGGCAGGAGCTCCAGGCCTTATGCATGTATCGCCATTTCAAATGTGCTCAGTGTTCGAGAAGGTTGCTGACTACAGCACTGGACCAGGCAGTGTTTTGGTTCATGGAACAGGATTCTTGCAGTAGGAGAGAGTGGCTCTCCCACAGATCAGCATACTTTGTAACCTTCCAAAAACACAGAGCAAAGAACTGAGCCAGGCAGCAGAACAGAATGGAAGTATCTGACCAAAAGGAGAGTCCTCATCACATCAAGTTATGCTCTATACTCCAGTAAGTAGGAGGAAAGCTTGTTTTAATCAATACTATATTCAAATAAGCTGAAATTTCCTGCTGTTAACAATGACAGACCAATAAAGATTACTGAATACTATTACTTTAAACTATCTGGATAAATAAAGTGATTGTAAAATTCCAAGTGTTCAGAAAATGAAACGGCAAACAAGGGAGTCAGTAGTATTTTCATCTCAACAGCTATTGATAACTATCACAGGTTGTGTCACTTTAATGGAATCCATCCTAAAGAGATAAGCAGATTCAACATTCCTTTGCCAATTTATACAAAACACCAAAGAATAAGGTAAATGCATAAATGTATCTCTGCCAAAGGGTTTGGAACCCTGATTTATTAGTTTTATAGAGATAATAAAACTATTTCTCTAGGTAGCATTTCTTTGCTATAATTCAATTCAGCCTTGAACAGAGCTGATAATAAAAGACACCTGTTAGAACTTTGTAATGTTATGTGTGCCAAGAGGCAGAAACTCATCCACAAAATCTCAGAACATTGTAAGTCTTGAGCATTAAAAAAACCCCAAACATTCTTAACAGCTGATATGTTAAGTACTTGCCAAATTATTTGAGATTTGTGCTATAACAAGATTAAACCACCCTGAGCTACAGCATGAACTTTACTAAAACTTAAGAACAACTCTGAACAGTATTTATCAGTAATATTTTTGTATTTTAGACTTGTTATGTTACTCTGAAACACGTTACAAACTGGGAAGCATACATTAGGCATTGAGAGAGATGTTAAAATTCCTGATAAATAAACAAGTGACAGCACACAGTGTAAACCCATGCAGATTCTGAATTCTTTAATTCAACCTCCTTATGGTAAAACATGCTCCTGGTAGCCAGTAATCACATCCTTTTCAACTGACTTATTCTCATCAAATATATATCAACTTTGTACTGGGTAATTCCATTAACACCACCTAAGAGTAAAGAAGCAGAATTATTTGCAAAATCTTATCATAGTATCTTCTATAGGATTAGCAATATAACCACAGTGTATTCACATCTAGTGGAAATTCCCAGTTCACACCATAAGGCTAAGAAGAATAAAGGCAATTTCCCTTCTTTTATTTTACTGTTTTTATACAGGAAGAGGATACAAAACCTACAATGAAAGTTGCAAAACAATTTACAGTATCAGCCTCGAGTTTTATATGTTTGTGATCTGTAAAAGTACAAAGACAGACAGAACTTTGTTGTTCTTCTCCTACCCCAGGCCACCTTTGACTTTTTAAAATTTGTCTCCATGGTCAGAGAGAAGCCGTGACACGAGAGAATGAAATCACATGGCCACAAATAGGGGGACACCTTTAATATGGCAAAAACCATCACTGAACAGAGATACTTCCCAGGTATGTTCTCTCTAAACCCACTTCTCTAAGTGACCAGGAACTTTAGTGGGCAAAGATAGCTTAAAAGAGCTCCCAAAGCTTCTAGTATAACACTCCAAAGATGGGGCTGGGAGCGGCAGATTGGCCAAGACCTCCATCACCTACTTTCTGACATCCGAGGGCCTTTACAGCTTGGCAGAGGAAGGTCTTCAGTATGAATATGTCATATTAGCAGTTTTCCCCTTGGAAGCAGAGCTAGTCCCAAGACGAGTTTCCATTAAGTCAAAGGTCACTTGTGGATGTCAGGAAAGGATAAATAGGGTTTGAGCTGGGTCACTAGCAGCCAATGTACTACAGTACCCAGTGAGCAAAGAGAAAGAAAAGAATTTGTCACTTCTAGAAGGGATTATAACAGAGAATAAGATCCTGCATAGAAATGCTGAGATTTAACACCAGCTTTACAGTGGGCTTGCTCGATGAAACTGGACATGCTATTCTAACTGTAAAACAGAGTAATAATATTGCTCATTTCTTAAAGTTCTTGAGACATATATATACTTATATTAGAAGTTTAACAGGACACTTAATGTAAGAGCTATCAGCAAAGCTTGGGATTTGGCAAACAGAATTACAAGTCACAGCAAATGAAATGGGACTCATGGTTATTATTACTATAACTATAGAAAGGCTGTGGAAGAAAGCCTTTTTAATTGCCTGCTTTGTTACAGGAAAGATCAGAATTGATGGACAGACTGGATGTCCCTTGGTGGAGATGCAGTGCTCATTACATGGCACTTTCAGAATTCTATATAATAATTCTAGTTGGCACCACATGACTACGTATCAGTTAAGAACAGGACTGCTTAAAAAGGAGGAAAGAAAAAGAGGAGTGAAGTGTTTAGTGGGAAACAATGAAACCCTTCATTTCTTCTGAACATTTTAGTTAAAAATGAATTTAAATTCTCATTTTCTGGTGAGAAAATTCCAACACACAAATACACACACCCCTCAAAACAGGAGACAAAAGGTTTTTCCAAAAGAAATTTGTTACAATTACATATTTTTTCCCATGGAAAATTTCTGGTTTGAAAATATATCAACTGTCAGTGAAGATACTTTCAACAGAACTGTAGTCACTGTCAGTCCTCATGTCTTTAAGTTGGATATCCAATTCCAGGTGAAGAAGTAGCTCGAGTGATGGGATTAGTGCACTGCCATTCAAATACCAAAATGAGGATTTTTTTCACCACCAAATTTAAGTAAGATTTCCTCCCCAAATTCTTTAGTTTTAGAGTTATCTGTGCCTCATTTCCTTTCTTTCATAATAAATAATGGAGGCCATATACTTAATTGCAAGATTATACTAAGTATCAAATCTCTAATTTTCCTACAAGCATCTCTAAGCAATATTATTATAAACCACACTTTTAAATTTTTTTAAGAAGTCATTAGACTGATAATACATTGTGTCAAGTGTCATACCCAACAGATTTTTAAAACAAATGATACTTCTCAAAAACAATTATCTAAAGGTATGATTTTTTTTTTTTTCAGTCTTGGAAAAAAGCTCTCCAGGCTTTTGACAAATGGATTACAAAGAGATTGGTAATAAATTGTGGGAACCAACTTATTCCACCATTAAAAAATTAGCAATCTAGCCATATAAGTCCTTCTTCTCAAGTCAGTATAGAAGGACTGGCATTTCCTGAGAAAAAACTCACCTTTGTAAGGCATGTATCTGAGATAGACAGCAGGGCTATTCTTTCACAGGTGCTTTTATTTCCACTGCCTACAAGCTAAAGATATCTTTAAGGCAGCTAAGGTTAGCAGAGGAGAATCCCACTCAAAATTTAGAAGGTACTTTAGCATTTTGTTTTGTTTTAAACAAAGACTAATCCTGTAAAAGCCTCTAATATGGGACAGGAAGTTTTTATGCTCTGAATCAGCCTAGTTAACATGCACATAGTACTAGACAGTGATTCCACAACGTTGGACATTTTCTCATTGCCGTTCAGTTTTGTGTTTCAGAAAATTTGTCCATTCAGCGATGCCTAACTAATCATTCCAATGTGTCCAAAAAATGAAAGAAAAAGCAGACCAAGGAAATATTATGCACTGCCAGTGCAGCAGGAAAAAAATACCCTGGAATCAAAAAGATAGGATAAAGTTGTGTTTAATATTCCAGAGGTACGCACCTCTTAGAAACTGTAAGGCTAAGAAAACTGCTATGCATCATGCAGGCAAAACACTACAGAGCTCATGGAAAATTTGGGGGCACGAGTGTTTCAGTATGATTTCTGTTATAATCCTGACATTCTCTAATCAGTACCTCTCAAAGCTGAGCAGTATTTCCTTGCTAATTGTCTCATTATTATATTTCAAGTTCTTTTGAGTAGTAAGTTACATTAGGTATACTGATGTTACTTCGACATAAAACACAATCTAGTCTTCATGTTATAGCAGCTCTTAAACATAGCAAAAACATTAAATTGAAAATCTTACTTCTGATAAACTGCTTCTCTGAGTAGTGACAGTTCCAACAATGTCTCCACTCATTTGCACAGAGAGCCCTGAAGCAGCGCTGAGGGTCCTCCCCATTTGGCTCTTAGATGTCAAAGATCTGCTTCTTTGCATACTAATGATGCCTTCCCTATTTCCTTGGTTGCTAGGGGTAAGAGGCCGTGACAGCAAGCTATTCGGGGTCACAGGTCTGCTACCCGGAGTTGATGGAGTTGGTGGCCTGTTGGTTTGTGTACCGGGCGTTGGAGGCCTACTGTTTGCAACACTGGAGACCTGTGTTCTGCTGTTACTGGGCAGCGGTGGTGATTTGTTTCCTTGGAGCTGAATGTTCTTCCCCGCCTGAGTTGACACCTGAGGCCTTGGATTTTGGCCCTGTGTAGCTTGAAGATTGCCTTGATGGTCAGATGTAATTAAACTATGATGTTGGATAGTAGGGCTTCTTGAGAGTCTTGCTTCTTCCCATAGTGCTAGGTCCTTCTCAATATCTGTGCACACACACACAAACAAAAAAAGGAAAGAAAGCAAGAAACTCACTTTCTGTTTCTCTCTGGTTTAAAACTCTTATTGATTTTCTCCAATGTAAGCGACAACCTGAAGCTGTGCAGACAAAATCTATTCACCCTTAAAATATAAGGCATCAGAATTAACAGTTCAAATGCTTGTCAAGCATTTCCTCAAAGCTTATTTACATTTCATTTACTGCAAACACAGCTATCCCACAGAAATGAAATATTACCACTTCATGGAACGTCAATACAACCTACAAAAATCCCTCTCATCTCTTCAAAGTTCTCTTTCTGTGGCTTTTGCACAGTTTATCATTAGTATCAAGCCAAGATGGAGCAGTGAGCTGAACTTGCCATCCTCAGCTGCAATGAAGGGCAATCCAAAACTGGTTCAAGGCAAGACTTTGCTTCTGGCCTCACTGTCTATCGGCCAACCAAAACTCTAGGGGAAATAACCTTTGAACTTTGGCACATGTGGATCTGTGAACCTGTTTGAATCTGAATTTTGTGCTCTGGTCTGCTGTCAGTGCCACAGCAGGGGATGGGGTCACCAACATCTAGGATCCAAGGAGAAAAGGTGGCCACCATTTGGTGGTCCAGTCCCTACCCCTCACATAGCCATAAGGAGTAAGATCCTATTTAAAAACAGGACAGATGGGGGTAGTGATGAAAAGTGTCTTCTGAATTCATTTAAATCATATTAATGCTTATAATGAATTAAATCAGATACATCCAGCAAAGTTAGGTGAGGGTAGCTGGAATTTAGGTTAGCATTGCTAACACACCGGAAGTCCTTGCAAGTAAAAATGTCAAGCTTAAGGAACAGTATACTCAAGTTTATTTTATCTTACACAATTGTTACGAATTTTCACTCTCACTGGCATGTACTCTACTGTAACTTGGTTTGACAGGGACAGTTGGTTATCTTTAGAAAAGCAATGCCAAAAAAGCAAACCCGGCACCAAGTGCCGGGTCCTCCACTTCGGCCACAACAACCCCATGCAGTGCTACAGGCTTGGGGAAGAGTGGCTGGAAAGCTGCCCGGAGGAAAAGGACCTGGGGGTGCTGGTTGACAGCCGGCTGAACATGAGCCGGCAGTGTGCCCAGGTGGCCAAGAAGGCCAATGGCATCCTGGCCTGTATCAGAACTAGTGTGGCCAGCAGGAGTAGGGAAGTGATCGTGCCCCTGTACTCGGCACTGGTAAGGCCGCACCTCGACTACTGTGTTCAGTTTTGGGCCCCTCACTACAAGAAAGACATTGAGGTGCTGGAGCATGTCCAGAGAAGGGCAACGAGGCTGGTGAAGGGTCTGGAGAACAAGTCTTATGAGGAGTGGCTGAGGGAACTGGGGTTGTTTAGCCTGGAGAAAAGGAGGCTGAGGGGAGACCTCATCGCTCTCTACAACTACCTGAAAGGAGGTTGTAGCGAGGTGGGTGTCGGTCTCTTCTCCCAAGTAACTAGTGATAGGACGAGAGGAAATGGCCTCAAGTTGCGCCAGGGGAGGTTTAGTTTGGATGTGAGGAAAAATTTCTTTACTGAAAGAGTGGTTAAACATTGGAAGAGGCTGCCCAGGGAAGTGGTTGAGTCCCCATCCCTGGAAGTATTTAAAAGACGTGTAGATGAGGTGCTTAGGGACATGGTTTAGTGGGCATGGTGGTGTTGGGTTGACGGTTGGACTCGATGATCTTAGAGGTCTCTTCCAACCTTAATGATTCTATGATTCATTTCCCATTAAACTGTACAAGTCACAGTCCCAGAAGCTGTAAATCAGCAAGGCTCTAGTGATTCAAACACCCATTAGTGAACTTATATAAAATAAGCATTTCATTTTTATTTTGATAACAATAATTTCAGGTTCTAAAAGTCCTAAAAGAAACAGATTCTGAACTGCATATTGGAAAAATCAGATTTTCTTTCACTTGTGTTTACCAGTAGGTATAAAAGGAATGCTGTATGTAAAATAATTAAAGATGTGCTGCCTTTAACATTAACTTATTTTAAAATAACACCTTGAAAACAGGAAAATAAGCTATGTCAATTTCATATTACTAGTCTAATACAAGATATTCCACACATTTAAAATGCAATTACTAGAAAAGCTGATAAAACTGAAATAGTTGTGAAAGCCTCAGATAAAAGGGTCTCTCAACTCTTTAAAGATTAAATGTTTTGCTATTAGCAAATTTCAAAACATAGTTATTGTTTCTAGCACACAGTTAAGAATATTTCTAATTGCTACCTTGCTGGCCTCTTAAAATTAATTATTTCCATTTTGAAATAATTATGTCTTGAAATACTCTTCCATTATGCTTTAAAAAAAAAATCAATACACATCACTTTGGAACTTGTAAGATGCCTAGCAAAAATGCAGGGGCCAATAAATGACAATGTGGGCTACCTGATTTAAACCAAATGAGGAATATTTTCTTTTAAAAGTTCAGCTTAGCCTATGTCTTTGCAAAATTACAGACCTCTTGCTTCCCCATGATGATTCAGTATGCTGAGAAATTATCTGAATATTGAATGATTTTAAAAGAGTTAAATAAACATTTTATTCTGGCTCATGTTTCCTTAATTCCAAATAGTAATCAAGCCTGCAGATAAACCAATTATTCTAATCATTTCTCCATGTATAATTAAGACATTTCCATAGTGTAATTATTCAGTTTTATTTAGCACACATCCTCTTTTTGATTTTGCTTCAATATCAGCTTTTCAACCAGAAATAAAATTAAAAAAAACCCCAAACCCCACACATCTCCAGCTTTACAGTATTATCTGATCCATAGTAAATACCAGAATTGAATTATGACTTAGGATTTTTTAAATCCCTTGTCAATGTCATTTAAAGGAAAATAAAATACAGGCAGCAGAGCAACACAAGGGCATTTTACTTTCATATCAGAAATACCAGAATAAGGATATGATTCATAATGTGCTTAAAAACCGTTTATGCATTTAACAGTTCTTCTTGTGATAAAATATATTTCAGAAGTATCCAATGACCACAGAATCAGTGTAACAAACCAAATTGGCAAGATACTGGAATTAACTACCAAAATAAATATATTTTCCACTTGCATGTGATACAAAGCAGTCACAGTAACATAAGAGACTGGATCTTAGACAAAAGTATTACGAGCTGTATGTAGAGAAGGAAAAGAAAACTGATTGCTTCAATATCCGATTTTGTAAAAATGCTGCTTTCAAATATCAAGGTACTGAGGCAGTTGCTGGCAGTTGGTGCTAGTCCCTAATTTAGGCACAGGCACCAAATTGTGCCTTATGTTAGGAGTGAGTTTTATCCGGCACGTAGTCTATAAGAGAAAGCCAGGCTCCTTAAGAAGGTGTATTTGAGACAAGGGACCACGTTTCATCATTATACAGGTAATCCAAGTCATAATTCAGGCATCTAAATGACTGCCTAGTATTGGGTAGAATTAATAGGTTCCAGTGCGCTTGGTAAGAGAACAGAAACAAGGAGGCTTGCTGATATCAGACACCCGAACTTTTGCAAATATATGAGACAAATAAGGCTAAGCAAAACCACAGCATTATTATCTGAGGTCCTCTGAGCTGATTCTTCATGGAAATTGTTATGCTTGTCCGTGAGGGGAATAATTGTCTCAAGCAGCACTGGTGTTATAATAGGACATGAATTATTAGGAATATGAGAGTCCAATGTTTAATAATTGGGCTGTTTTCTTGTGAATTTCTCAGGCAGACAAAAATTACTGAATGGTAGAATGACTGAACCCCATGTTACAGCGTTACTGAGATAACGGACCCAAAGCCAAATGACAACAGCATTGATGCGAGAGAGAAGACCTTGTAGGTCACACAACAGCAGACTGAATCTCGGAGACTAAGTGAATGTAGCTAGTTAGCTTACAGTCAATTAAGTATTTAAAATTCCATATTCTATTGAATATGGTAGTTATTACTGTCATCTTTGCCAAGGGAGATCTAAAGGAACTGCATGTTTCAGAGCATACTGCATACAAGAACAGCTTGTACAACCACGGAAGTGTGACCAGTTAGGACATAAATCAAAGTAGGGAGATCTTCACCAGACCCTTCCTGAGTGACAACTGCAGCAACACAAGGGAAGGCAAGTGCTACCTCAGTGGCAGAGGCCCCTGGGGTACTCAGATCCCTGCTATGCCACAGAAACCTGATGACCACAGCTTGGCCTGCTGGTCTCCTGGTTCCCACTAGATGTTCCTGGCAGTTTCAGCTTGGAGAGAGGGCTCATGGATTTTCAGTCTAGTCTGGCAGTGGGTACATCTCTAATAGCTACAGTGACTTGAACCTGTCAAAAAAAATTGAATGACAGTATCTCTGTTGTCAGAAACAAAAAACATCTAAAATAACTTCATTTGTAGATAGCATAATTTTTAGCTCTTGCTCCATTACAAGCAAAAACTTTTTCTAAAGAGCTTCCCTCACTGTGCTCATAGCTTTGTCTTCTGCCTTGACTTCAGCTGCAACAGCCGCTAGACAGAAGTACAACGGCTGTACCTCTCCCTGAAGAGGATACAGCTCCCAAGCCTTTCACACCAGTATTATTGGTAGGATAAATGTCCAAAGTTTTTTAGAAAAATCACACTGAAAGTGGTAAGTTCGCTGCCTCACTCTCTGAATGATTTGAAAGAAGGGTCAGATAAATTTCATTTCTCCCTCCACCTTACATATACAGTCTTTATGTTCCAGTTCTGCATTCCTTTTCATAGAGCTGGCCCATGAAGCTCAGCTTTCACCATATGACAAATAGCATGCATAATATAGCACTACCATGCTATAGGTCTATGTCATACCTTATAACTAAAGCTGAAGATAGAAAATACTGATTACAAAGAACAACAAATTGCAAACTGTATCCTAGGATATCCCTCATTAATTTTTATAGAGCTCTGAAATATTTTTTCACTGAAAAAAAGGGGGGTTTGTTTCACCTTTTAGAAGTGGTTACCCCACCAAAGATGTTGCAGATGTTCCACTGCATGCAAGTTAACAGACTTCACTTAGCCAGAAGTCTCATGAACAAGGTGGGCTTTTCCTGCAAAGCAATCTCAAGGTCCACTGCAGCCTTTTCTAAAGACTACTTAACTGTAGATGAAGCATCAGTACCTCCTTACTGCATAAGTCTTGGTGAAATGTGAAAACAAAAAAAAAAGGTGCATCATTAAGCTGTCAGACTGCAGTATATTTAACACAGTTTAATTACTGTTTAATTACTGTATTTACTGTAATTACAGCAAAGTTCATTACATCTACAAATACAACAAGAATTGTGCTGTTTCTCTTCAATGAAGAAAAAGGGAAGTTTAAAGTTTTTCTCTCTTTTCATCAGCATGTGAGATAGATAATTTTTTCATTCGTCTAAAACATTGGCAGAGCTAGCTGGGTGAGTACTACTAGGCATTTTATGATCCTTTGCTACCATACATACCAGCTAGGTGTTTTTCCATGGTCTGAAGTTCTTTTGCTGCCAAGGAGTCCTTTAAGAGTTTCTGCCTTGGGGAACCTCCAGGTCTGACACCCATGGCATCCAGGGTCCAAACTGTCTGAGACTTACACAGATAAAAAGAAAAGGGAACGCTTTTAATCTAGTTTCACATTTACATGTGAAACAATTAAAAAAGTGGTGTCCTCATTTAGAATAGTGAATCTGGTGCTTTTTATGTAGAATATATAATATTTTATGCAAAATATTACAAAATATCACGTCTTACCTTAAATAACATAAATAGTAGGCATTACTTAAAATCAACAGTTCTAAAGTAATTCAAATACATACCTTCACGCAAGCTCTTGTTCCGTGCTGAGACATCACAACAGGACAAATTCTTCAATGATTTACATTCTGTGAAGTTCCAGTTACTTAGTGGGGGTTGCACTTACTTTAAATTACCATAACATTTGGCACCATATCTCTGCAAAGCAGCACTTCTGGGAACATCATAGAATTTCCTAATCAAAATTGCCAGTGCTGTTTTATCACTGCAAGAGGTATGCCTTTCAGGAACAGCAACTAAATCGTCAGGGCAACACAGCAGTTTGGAAGGGATGCCAGCAAACAGACCACCTCCCCAGTCACTTCACTATTGAACGCTGTGGTATTCAAAATTATCTGCATTTTCTGGAACCCACTCAATAGAGTTTCAAAAAATGATTTTAAAATATGCTATGAGGTAAACTTGTTAAGTTTTTTTTAATGCTTATTTGAAATAGACAAAAAAATATATGACGGAGTGTGCAAGACTCGGTCATAAAAACAACAAACAAAAACATTAATTAAAGCATTCTTAACAGCCTATCTGAAATAAATTTTACGTTATTACCTCACCAAAACATTTCAACTGTAGTCTAGGGGTTTTTGCTGATTTCCCAGGTTTCCTAAAGAAACAAGGCTTATGCCATGGTCTCATTGTCATTCACCTCTTACTAACTTTTTAATCTTTCGGTAAATGTCAAACAAATTTAGAGAGGGGCCACGGTTTCAAAGACATTAAGACATGCAACTGTAGGGAGAAGAATGATTGAGCAGAGGAGGGAGACCCACACTGGTGACACCATTCACGGAGGGCTCCACTGCTAGGCAGTCTGCCGGTCTGGAACTGTATCACCAGCAGACACGTGGGTTGCTGCAGATAGCTGCAGCACGTGATGGTACTTTTCTGGCTGGACTCTCATGTCATAAGGAAAGGTGTACCACAGTTCAAGGAATGAACATGAAAATACAGGTTTGATATCATCTCTGTTCACAAAAAATTTGCTTTAACCATAAACACTAAATAAAACACTGTAGCTGCCTTCCCTTTTAGAAAAGTAAGTGTAATTCTACAGAAATAAAATCTTATACGGGATACATTTTACATCATTTTTAATCTTTCCAAATAAACTCTGCCTCATATGCAACCGATCATTGTGAACCATGTATCTTTAAAATATGTTAACGCAGATTCATATTTATAAAGCAACAGCTATACTGTAATGCTGCACATGCGTACATTAAAAAAAGCCTAGCCATATTTACCAGCATACGAAATAGTTCAAAGCTGCAGATAATTCCGTTATTAACTCACAACATTTTTAGAACACTAATGACATTTTTGGATTTGCCAATTGTTTTTTACGCTAGTTCTGCTCTGGTTAAAGTCACCCGTATTTAATCCCAGGTGAATACACAGGAACAGCTGAATAAAACAGTAAGTTCCTCAGAAGTGGAACTGATCCTGCAAACACATTTATTTCAGACATATCACTAGACCTGATTCACCCGTTCCCCCAAGAGATTTTGAACATTTGTCACTTCAGTCCTCATTGTGAATTCTCCATACAAATCATAATCTGGTTTGTTGAGGTCACTATGGGATATTAATCTGTATTTAATTACTCACATCTCTAAATGTTTATTTCTAATAGATATTAGTTACCCAGTATCGATCTCTAGATGGAAGAATATTTTATTCTGTAAACAATTCCTCTGAAATAAATGAAACTAAGTAAGAGATGGGAAGGGGGAATAGAGCCCGTAATAGAACTCTAATATTTTAATTTTCAATCTATTTTTAGATATACTCTTTTCCCCAGATTTTTATGGCAGAAAAAGGCCATTTTTATATACATTTTATAGTGTATATTTTCATAAGGGGGAAAAACCAGCAGGACTTCAATAATGACTATGGGGGAAAAAATCCCCAAGGTTATAAGGATGAATCCTTTTTGAATACACAATCTCATGCACAAATACAACTCTGATGAAATGCGGAATAAAAACTAGTCAGTGGTCTATGGTAATACTTGAAGACCAAACTGCCTTCTAATATTCTTAACTCTGACTATTCAAGTTTATCACAAGCAAATTATTAAGGGTTTTCAATTACTCCTTAACCTCCTAAAAACACAGACTTCCAAATGTTAGCCTGGTGAGAGGGTTTCACTCTCCACGTCCTATTTTCTGGAAATGAAATGGAGTTATCATTCTCTTCTACAGACCTCTACTGTTTCTTCTTACATTCTGCCTTTTCCTCTATCGTACTTCTTTCCTTTATGCACAGCAATCACGTAAGACACTTACAACTAAGGTGACTGTCTGAGTAAAGGCAGCTCTCTACTGCCTGTAGTAGAATCTAAGATAAATGGAGAAAAATGATTCTTTAATGGTAGTCATCATGATAGTGCTTTAGACGTCTATAAAACCATGAGTAATGTTTAAATTAAATCACTTACAGTTAGGAGACTCCAAATCACAAAGATCATCAAACATCAGTAATACCTTTGTATGTTTCAACACAGGTTTTAAAAATCTTATATAAGTTCATGTAAGACATACAGATATGCCTGTGTATAAGCACACACAGGCACACAGAGGCAGGTGCACACATGCATTTAATAAATATTTGTGTCTGCCTTCATCCTGTTAACACACAGCTACAAAGACATACAAAGTTTGTGTTCAGTTCTGGACATAGCACAGATGTGTACATTCTTTCTAAGAATAAATTTTAATCTTGTATATGATTTAAAACAAATACATTTACATATATTCAGTCTCTACCATTACATATTGTTATATGTTCAAACTCCCTTTCAGATACACAGTTCCAACACCCTGTGAAATTAATGAGGTAACTTTGGGTGAATTTTTTCCCCGAATTTTGTAACTCTTCCTGTGCATTCTTCTGTTCTATGTGATATCATAAGCTTATGGCATTTTGTCAGGCAACAGCTTCACAAAAGACCAGAACAGTATTGCAATACTAGTTATGAAAGATTATATATTTAATATTGGCAATTTAATTTAATGATAAATTATGTGCATATAATTGTGCCTTCCAATTAAACACTCACTTGATAGAAAATAATAACGATCTGGGGAAAAAAAAGGTACAAGAGTTTATTAAGACATTAAAACTGTAGTGTAACCATTTTTTGTTCCTTCTCTGAAGCTAGATATTTCAGAGCTATAACCAACATTTTTGGAGGCAGGCTCAGGTAATGCCTTTGTTCTATACATCTAATTAATACGGAACATAAAAAAAAACACTCACTTGATAGAAAATAATAACGATCTGGGGAAAAAAAAGGTACAAGAGTTTATTAAGACATTAAAACTGTAGTGTAACCATTTTTTGTTCCTTCTCTGAAGCTAGATATTTCAGAGCTATAACCAACATTTTTGGAGGCAGGCTCAGGTAATGCCTTTGTTCTATACATCTAATTAATACGGAACATAAAAAAAAAATTTAACATTTTGAGACTATGAGTTCATCTAAGTGAATACTGCATACACACTGGCAGAGGTCTTCAGTGTCTCCAGCACACAGTTTATGCAACAGCCTTATTCCTAAAAGATAAACACAAGCTGAATGTAGGGGATGTTATCAAGGAGGCTTTGGAAGCATGTCAGTTCAAATGCAAGGATAAATGAATTTGTACAGCTCTCGCAGAACTCACTGGTGCCCCTTCTCTCCACTGGATGAACGGCAGCATGTCACTTAAGAAAGAGATTTAGGCTTGCAAGCCATTTATTTAAACCTTCTTATTCCACTTCACCAAAACCTATCCTTTGTCTACTGGCCAGGAATTGCAGAGATAACACACTAACGTCAGTTAACTTGGACTTTAATGATAATGACAGTAGACTGAATGTAGTTGAAAAATATAGCATATATGTATGAAGTATGTGCATAGAAGTCCTTCCAATTCCTTCGCTATCTTCCAAACTACAATTGCTCTTGATTGTTCATTAAGCTCAATAAATATTGGCACAAAATTTATAAATGGCCTATTTACGTTAACAAGATCTAAATATGAGGATGTTCCTGAAAGACATCTTTGTCTTTCTAACTTGTAGAAACAGCTCTGGGCCCCGTTCATCACCTTCAAACTTTGAAGGTGAGGCAATGTCTCTTTGTGCCAGAAATATGTTCAAACAAAGCCCTCAGGATACATTTATCAACTTTTAAGGTCAATTATATGTCCATTTCATAAGTGGCTTTCTTTTACATATCATCATAATTTCTTCACATACAATACATTCATTAATCCTTTTTTACTTAGATCACTTAGCCAAATTACTGCTACAATAAAAAATTACAAACAATAAAGCCAAAGGTAATTTCTCTCATCACTGGTTCCCTGAACTTCTGGAAACTACTATAACTTACTGGCAATAGCCACACCAGAACAGAAATACAATTAAGGAGGTCATGAATAAGAATAAGAAAGTTTTTCCAGTATCACTGTATCTGCTTCAGTAGCATCAGTATAGCTTTTGTCCCTAAAAAAACCCAGTGCCGATGTGAATGTCTTGATCTCACCATCAAGCTGACTTGACGTGAGCTGTGCAATACCCACTGACACCGGGGGAGTCCTACAGAGGTGCAACATTTCAGAATAGCTAAGACCAAGAGGAAGGCCTCCAAATTACCTACAACATCATCTGGAAATCAAGTGCCTCTTAGAAAACAAATTACTCTTTCTTGCTGACCATAAAAAGTGTTAATAAACAATGCAGCATTATGTTCCTACGTCATTTTGGCCTGCTTCAGAGTAAAACACCCAG